TCGGCGTAGTTGCACTCAAAGAGGTAATATACTGCCAAATAATTTTCAATTTTTTAAACTTATGTTTTGAATTTTTTTTATCACCAACCAAAGTTATGGCCAGTGTGCGTTCAAATTCAATTCAATACATGACTTTAAGAATTCAATACCTATGCTGTGCCCACCCTTGTGCAGCATGCTGCGATATCATTAATTATAATATCTCTAATTATTTCGTTATTTATTTTAGTTGCGTAAAGCTATTGAAGATGCCAACAGTGGTAACCTACCTTCTTCCCAAGCACCAAGTGTACCAGCAAAATCGACTGATTGTGAGGCTTTAAAAAGTGCTGATACACCGCTCTTGGTCAATTCACATAGTCAAGACCACCATAATCAAAACACCGTAACCAGTATGGATTCAGCACTTTCTTCCTGCGAAAATTGTTCCGACATCGAAATGGATGCGTACAATGTGGGAGTGTTCAATAAAAGCTCACGTGTTTAATAATATAGGTGTAATAATAAATAGAGTGATATTTTTTAATAAGAGACAATTAATAAATGTATAATTAGGATTAATAAAGTTTTTATTGTTGATATATAATTTTTTACCGAGAAACAGTAGAATTAATATTACTTATGTAAGTTATCAAAATTAAAAAAATCGAATATGAAAATAATTTAATATTTTTACACTTCAAGATGTTTTTGATTACTTTGGCACACAGTATATAAATTAAGTGTGCAAGATGTTGTTCTTGGAAAATGGATAAACCGAATCCGATGGGGTAATGTGTTTTTTGGTACTGAAAAGGCGGTCAGATACAACCGTTTTTAAGACTCGGTGGAACTAATTTAAAACGTTAAAAAGGCAGTACCAGATATAATTAAAACTGTCATTTTTTTAGTTCCTATATTCCTACTATAAACGCCAATTGATTATAGATAAAGTATTTTCAAACGTTAAACGAGAATATTTAATAATTTGATCATATTGCTATCTATATTTTGAAAACAGATATCACTGGTGCTCGACTTCAGGCTATACAAAGCGGATATCGACCTAAATCTTTGGAACAAAAGCCCATAGCTATATCCACTAAGCCACAGAAAAGCTTAAACTTCTTAATGTGACGGAAAAATGTAGACACGACAAAATATATTTTTATTGGCATATATTTTGTTAAATCGAAATCCTTTTTATCAAGTAAATTTTAAATTTTGAAATTTTTATTAGAACACACACTATGCATTGTGATTATTTTTGTAACAATAAATTACAACAAGTAATTGGTTTTTAGCCTTAAAGCATGTTACACGACTTTTGAGATATGTGCAAACTATAAATATAAGCTTACATTAGTCAATAAGAATTGGAATTTAGCTATTTAGATAAAATTTATAACTGTTTTATCGAAACTAAAGTTTTTGCTCTCACTAGAACTAATCAATGCGATTTCCTATTGATATCAAACAGACTTATGATATCTGTAAACATATTATTTATAGTGCACAAACCCGCATTAATTTCAACTAGTGGGGCGCATGGCATCGTGCCTTAAGGCAAATTGCTGGAACTTCCCGTACCAAATATTATTATTTTTTTAAAAACGATTAATATTTTTGAAAAAATTTTACTTCGAAAAAATTAGATTTTTGAGAAACTAGGACTTTGACAAAAAATCACTTTTAAATTTAAAAATGTTTTTTTAATTTTGACATATTTTGGAAATTCTGAACTTTTTTTCAAAGCAATCGTACTGCTTTAACTGCATAGAGACAAATTGTAAAAGCGCGTAAGCGCCGCGTCTCCGTCTAACGGATAAACATTGGTACGGAACCCAAAGGAATGCAAACAAAATTTATACTTATTATTAAAATCTTTATAAAATATCTGATAATTTGATGTGCATATGCCTAATGATCATTTTTGACCGCCAAATGGCATTTTTTTTACTTTTTTCATTAGATCTCCGAAACGGCTAGACCTGCCTTTATGACAACTTGATCAGTTCTTCACCTTGTCAATACAAGTAAAATGATTTTTTAATTATTAAAATCGGACGCTCCGTTCACTCAAAAACTGAGTTACCGTTTTTGGCGTTTTTTGCCCCGTATCTTCGGAACGGCTAGACCTGCCTTCGCCAAAACCTAATCAGCACGTCTCCTTATCAATATGAATCGAATGTTTTTGAATTATTTAAATCGGTTGATCGGTGTTCCCGAAATCGTCGACGAAAATTTGTTTTCCGCACACACACACACGCCCACACACATACACACACACACATACATCCATTTTTTCTAAGGTATGCCAAAATGTTCAGAAACCTTTGAAACGTAAAGATTTATAAAAACTTTTATTTTCGATTTTTTGCAATTACTATAACTTGCCCTACGGGAAGTTAAATATATGGTAGGGGTCCAATTTGACTTTGTGCAATAATATCCACTAATAACATAAATTGATTTTGATATTAATTTTATTAATACCTACGCTTATTTAATATGATATAAAACTTATAATATAAGACTAAACTTGGGATATGATAATCTTACTATTATCATACTATTATATTATACTATACTATTATATATCATAGATAATTTAACTATTATACCGTGAGATACCTATGCCATCAATTTCTCTATCCATACAAATAATCTATTACAGCTAGATTATTATTTGCTAATTAACTTATTATACATATATATATATATATATGTGTGTGTGTGTGTGTTTATATATATGTATATATATACCTATCAGACACCCTACATACCTATTTAATATTAATGTGTTATATTTCTACCTTACGCCCTATGTATTATCTCTAGCTATCTATTGCCTATACCGGGGATTGAACCCGGTTCCTCTGCGTGACAGTCACGCATCTTAACCACTACTCTATCGGGTCCCACCACTGAAAATATATTATGGAACACACTGTTGTTTCTTTGGTTCATTTTCTAATTAATTAAGCATTTTCTAATTGAGTAACTAATACTAAGGTGACGCGATAACACACGAAAAAAGACGGTTGATTGTAGCGTTAGGGTGGTCGAGTGGTTAAGGTCGTAGCCTGTCACGCGGCGGACCGGGGTTCGATTCCCGGTAAGGGTGAAAATAGTATGTAAGCGAAATTGTAGGCGTAAGATAATAAGTGTTAGGCGGTTTAGATATAAGTGTAAGGATTGAGCGTATACGGGTGGTGGTAAAGGAACGTACGATATAGTAGTTATAAGGCGTATAACCACGTAAAATGTAATGCTTAGGTATGGTTTAGATATAGGTGATACACGTACGCGAAAAGAAATTTATGATATTAGGGGTTATCGTGTAAGAATTGCGAATGTTATATAGATTTAATTTATAAATATTCTTTCTTCTATACAAATATTTAGTTTGCTGGTTAGTTTTTTGACAAAGGCAGGGCAAAAGTGCAAGAAATGTCGATTTAGTTTTTGAGTCAACGGAGCATCTGGTTTAAATGATTCAAAAACCATTTTACATTTATTTACTGAGGGAAGAAGTGATTAAATTTTTGGGCAGGTCCAATAAAAAAAGTAAAATATTCTCTGTTAAAAATATTAAATATCGGTACAAAAAGTTCTAGCAATTTGCCTTAAGGCACGCCATGCACCTCTATTAGTTTAGTCTTTTATTATAAGAACAAAAAGTTCAAAACCATCGGAATTGAAAGGTGAAAGTTTTTTAGGTAAATTTGATTATCAATCAACTTTATTTATACTAGAATAATTATTAACTAGTGGGGTGGGTGGCATCGTGCCTTAAGGCAAATTGCTGGAATTTCCCGTACCGTAACGAAATGTTCGAGGAATACTGAATGTTTTCAAATAGATTATTGTAAATATTGTAACATTGTCTAATATTTATAAGAATTATATAAACTGAATTGCAAAGTTGAAATTATTTGTAAAGTATATTAGAACTATAGTCAGAATTAAAATTAAATCTGAATTATTTTCGATATACAAAAAATTAAAAAAAAAGTTGAAACAAATTTTTTTTTTCCAGAATCAATTATTTTGTTAAGACAAGCAGAAAGTTATTTGAATCAATTAAATCGGACGCTTAGTTCTCTCAAAAACTGCCATTTTTTGTACATTTAGCTTCGTATCTTCGAAATGGAATGCTATGCGAAAAACTAATAACCACTTCTTCCAATCATTACTAATTGAATGTTTTTTAGATCATTCAAATCGGATGCTCCGTTCTCTCAAAAATTTTCTATTTTCTGCACTCTTTGCTCTCTATCTCCGTAACTGCTGGACCTGCCTTTGCCAAAACCCAATCAGCACATATCCTTATCGATAGGAATCGAATGTTTTTTGAACCATTCAAATCGGTTGATCCGTACGCCCGAAAACGTGGACGAAAAATTGTATCCATACATACATACACAGACACACACACACACACATCCGTTTTTTCTGAGGTATGCCAAAATGTTCAGAAACCTTCAAAACGTCGAGAAATGTAAAAATCAATTCCGATTTTCGGCCCATTACAATAACTTACCTTACGGGAAGTTAATAATAATTCGAAATTTAATGGTATATATCTAAATAACTTTTTGTAGGCGTGCAATATTTTGGGTTGTTTTTGTTCAGATCTTTGTTCAGATCATTCATTCTATCGCTTTTACAAAGTTTCGTTAAAATCGGCTTTTATATTTGTGAAATCTGTACATCTATTATTGAGAAAAGTTTCCGAAAGTTTTGGATCACAATGCATTGTATAGTTCTTCTGACAAGTTCAGCCCTCATACGAACGTCTGACAAGTTCAGCCCTCATAACACACCGTTACCAAGGGTAACGGTTTGTTTACATTCAGTGAAATTGAATATAAAACTAATAATTTGAATGTACTGTGAATGTAGAACGTAATAATAAATGTCCATTGCGTACAATTTGTCAGTTTCATAAATTTTATTAACACATGAAGAGTATGCCAAGTTAAAAACATATAATATGTAATAATTTATTGCTAAATATGAATGATGTTCCTGAAATTGGGCAAACATCAAAGATGACAAGTGCTAGTGGAGACTACAAATCCAAAGATAAAAGTATAATTAGTAATCAGTTCTCTAAAGAAAGAGCTCCTGTGCCGGCGCACAAAACATTTTCAGCAAATTTTGGACATGGACTTGAAAACCTACCAAGAAAAAAATCAGCAACGAAGAAACAACGGCATTCTTGCAAAAATAAAAATGTAGAAAAATATCATAAATTGAAACGATTGTGTAAGGAATATGACCATAAAGTAAGTTTATAATAATGTTTTGTTTTATTGTGCTTGATCATAGAATTCTGCAGTTGTATAAAGGACTTTCTACTGTTATATATATTTGTAGAATTTTATTCTTCAACAACAAATATGCGTGCTTAAAGAAAAATTATCGTCATTACGAAGTTGCAATGAAGAGTTTGCATTAGAAAACGGTAAATTAAGATTAAAACTGAATTCATTAACTGAGGATTTTGTGGAAAATAAAATTGACCCCACTATTGAACCACGCACCGAAGAAATTGAAACTCTCAAGACCCAAATTGATAAATATAAATGTGAAAATCATCAACTAGAACAAGATTTACATATGATGAAGATCTTAGTTTACAGGTAACTCAATTTTCGATTATATAATTATACTAGCAAACCCGACGAACTCCGTTTCGCCACCAGATGGTTTCGTGAAAAAGATGAAAAAAATGTATGTTTGTTTTATATTTGAAAAGGAAAAATTTGATTTTATTGCATAACAGTAATGAATTTATTTAGATTACAAAAATGAAGTGTTTTTTAGTTGAACTTCTCTAAGTAAATGAAAGTGAAACCGCAAATTATCCTTTTCATTGAAGTGCTCTTTGGTAAACCACATTTTTTGTTTTTTGGCCTGGCGTTAACACAAACAAAGCGGAGGGTTTTCCAACTCGTGAATAGGCAACGTATAACTGCCCATGTGAAAAACAATGATTTTCTAAATAATCTATTTGAAATTTTTCGCGCAAACACAAAGCGATTGGCCTTGCGCCTTGTTATTGCGAACGCAAGGCGAACTGGAATTTGCAATCGTTTGAAGTCAAACGGAAGACCCGTCGGAATCATTGGTATGTCATCGAATCGCCAGCAATTTTTGATTGAATGGTGATATTTAGTGCGTGTACATCATTATTCTTTGCGACAAGAATTGTTCGTTGACTTAACCAAGCATAATTCTGATAGTTCTCACTAATGTCATTACTCGATTTTTAATTACGGTGCATGAAGTTCCAGCAGTTTGCATTAAGGCACGATGCCATGCACTACTAATTTTCTTAGTTATAAATCTTGCGGAGCCCGAGACCTTTCCAACGAAAATTGTCGAAATCGGTTCGTGAGTTCTGGATTTATTTCGTCAGGAAGGAAAACCCGACTTATTTTTATATATATATAGAAGATAATCGATTATAATTTATACCGTTGAGCAATTCTTATCACTTTTGGTTTTGAAACATAGATAGCCGAGTCTCAGACTTATTGAATACCAATATCAAACATTGGTCAACTCGGTTTAGAGGATTATGATAATTAGTACATGAGAATTGCCACAGAACACAATATAATGTTATTTTTTTTGCCTCTTTTGTTTTAGATTAAATGTCCAATTGGAAAGATACCAAGATAAACTTGCTAACGCTGCTGATAAAAATACCACAAAAGGTATTCTTGAATCTAGCTCAGCGTCTCAAACTCCGCTTCCTGAGCCTATGAACTGGGGTCGAGTCAACACCCATACTTTAGGTATTTAGTTCAGAAGTAAGCAATATCAATAAATACTATGCGTTAATATTGAACATGACAATATCTTATATATATATATATATATATATATATATATATAAATATTTAAATAACACGATTGCGCAATTTGTTTGCAATATTAATACCAGGCTAAATGATATTTTTAATACATATTTACCACTCAGCAATAATAATCAGTTTATGATTTGCCAGTACATCATTTCGTTTACTTATTTGATTGTCTATTTTTCTTATTTTTAATGTGGATTAAGGGAATTAACATATTCATTACAATCAGATTAAATTTCAATTATTATTACTAATTCAATTTATACTGCATGGCTAAAGTGAATATGATTTAATAATTAGGTTAAATTTTGCACTCGTCTTACACAAATTAATAGAACAATTTTGATCACACATATACATACTTAAATTTATAAAAGGTACTTTCACATAACTATTTTATTACTTAAAGGATATAAATTATTTTTGCATAGTTTTGTTTTTTCATAAAATTTAAATTAAAAAACGTATGTATTTTTAATTCAGATTTATCGACCAGCATTTAAACAAAACAACAAATAAATTTGATTTATAGCTCCTCTTCTAAATGCATTATCGCATTCGATTTGTGAGAAAACAGAATTAATTCATAAATGTGAAGATACTATGAACACATTTACGTGGAAAATGAAGGAAATTCTAATGGAGAATGAACATCTTCACAATAAATTGAAAGATATCGAAATACTTAAAAAGCACGTAAGTTTTAGTTTGCTTTTGTTTTTAAAATATGATTATTTGCAAACATATATTAATTGTTTACTTGGTGCTTGTAATGTTATGTCTACACAGTATGTATAGACATTTAAGTAAATATCAAAATGTAAGTAAATTGTGACCGTATATACTTTAATTGCAATCATTTATCTTATCTATCATAATATTTCATTAGTGTAATAAAATTTGTAATTTGCAAAAGCAATTAAATGTTTTGCAAATATTACTTTTATACGCATAATTTTATTTACTAAAGGTAGTAGTCTGGAAATCTCGATCCGAAATTCTGATGCAGAAGAATAACTTTTTGAATAAGAAACTTTTACAAATTCTGACATGTTACGAAAATAAGAGTAAGTATTTTAATACAATTCTTAATAAATCTTATTTTATCAAAATTTCTCAACACAATTGTTGAATTTATTTTGAAGTAAACCATTTTTAAAAAATAATATTTGGTGAATACTTTTGTAGTAAAATCAATGGCTTTGAGTTATAATAACTTATATGAGCAGTATATTAAGATCAACAAGGAAGTTCAAGCCAATTCAATGCAAACAAAGGACTTGGACTTGGAAAAGTAACTAATGATATTTTTGCTTTTATATTATAACAAATGCTAATTAATGTTTATGCGATATAAATATTATTTAAGATTGCAAGAAGAGCGCCAAACTAAATCGTACACAGATAGTGTAAAATTGAAAGAGGCAATAAATTCTTTAGAATATGAATTATCAAACCTCAAAAAGAAAAACGACGAAATAACGGAAAAGTATGCTGCCGAAAAACAGAATTCTGAGTAAATTATAGAAAATTTAATTTTCAAATATTAATAGTAGTTTAAGTACTTTTAAATTTTTAAATTTTAGGAAAAAATCGGAAAAAATAAAGAAACTAGAACTAACCTTGCAGCAAGTATCATGTTGGAAAAAAGTATACCAATCCAGTCAAGACGCAGTGAAGGTATTTAAATTAATTTTTCTTTATAATATAGTATAACATATGTATATAAAGCTATACAAATATAAAAAAAAATTTTTTTTAAATATTAGACATTTAAAATTTATGGTCCAAAATTTAAAGTGTTCAATTTCAGGGCTCTATTTGTTGTAAATCCAACTGTAAAAATTTTTAAATTAGAAATATTTCAATTAATTTAAAAATATAATTTTACAAATAATATTCAAACACAACTCTAATAATTCTGTGGTTTTACAGATGATACATGTAGAATATTTGCATCATTACAAAATTTATATTACATCAATTTTATAATGCTTTATTCTGTTTAATTGTAGAACTCGCAACAAAGTATATGGAAAGATATGACAAAAATGGAAAATTTAATTATTTCGAAAGAGAAGCAATATAAAAGCTTGAAGAAAAAATATTACAATGACATAATAAAAATTCAAAATGATCTACTATTGAAAGAAAATTATGTGCAAGAAATTTTGGCAAAATTTAGGACACATTTACAGGAGTGCACTCATCAACAATTTTTGCAAGCTAAACAGCAATCTGCAAAATAATAATTTTAATCATATGTAATATGCATATGTCAAAATGTATATAATTGTATATATGCTGTGTGAAATCAATGAAATTATATTTATAAAATATGTCTACAGTTTTTATAAAAATCAAAAACAACTAGTTTCATTTTATGTTATCACGGTAGGAATATTTCAAAATCTTCATTTATTACAAAAATAGGCAAAAATTTCACTAACAATCAAAACCTCAGGTTTCCTTTTGGGATTTTGATGGAACTTTGCTTAATGATAGAGTTGACAGTCAAAATGAACCTTTCAAAATATTACAGGCCTCTAAGAAGAGGTTTTATTACAAAAATTAATTAGAGACCTGAGAACTAGGCTATACGCTATAAGTACGCCTACAAAGTCCTATTTCAATAAGTCGATGTTCAACTTACACATTTTTTATATTTTTTATTTTATTTTTTATATCATTGTGGTTAAGTATTTAAAATATTGTTTATAAAAATTTATTACAACATGTATCTCGGTTATAATGTTAACATAACATTAATAGAAAATAATTGATATTAATCTTTAAGTATGTTTAATCATTTTCCAGTTTTCACCAACTATCTTATCATTATTAAGTTGAATAAAACAAATACATATTGTTCAATTTATGTTATCAACTGCAAATACATAAATTACATGTGTTATTATTTTCACACATAGCAAAAAATTTTATGTTTTATACTTATTATTCTGTATGCAAGGTTATAATGATATTTTTGTAATTTATTCATTTTTTGGAAATATTTCAACAGCTTCGATATAAGTAAATATATACAGGAATATATTAATGCAAAACACGTGGCTGGTGCTGATTCAATTATGTCGTTTACATAGTTGAGGAAAATAACTATTTTTCTACATTTCTAATAACTAGTTACTAATAATTTATTGAGAAACTAATCAAACATCTGTGACGCACCCGAATTATAGTTTTTCACATTAATTATCGCGTATAGAGAGCTTGTTGAGTACTGATCGTCAAAATTATACTTTAAACAAGTCGCAAGTGGCATTTTGCCTTGAGAAAAGATACAGGCCTATTAATGAGAATAGAGATTTAGTTATTTAGATAAAAAAATTCAACTGTTTATTTCAAAAATATTTTTTGCGTTTTTTAATTGATGACTTTCAAACAAACTTATAATATCTGCATTTGTTTTAATTAATTTGAATAAACACCCGCTTTATGTTCTAAAAGCATGGTCAATCATTCCAAACTTTGATGAAATTTTAAAGTTCGACCCCTTTTCGTAGTATCTAATATAGTATTTAAAGATGTTCTAAAAGACCTTAAACTCTATCATCATAAAAAGTTTCATTAAAAGTAACGACCCAGCCGATTTTTCCAAAAACTAAACAGCACTATTCCGAACTGATATCATTCGATCAGTTTTTAATTTTCAAAATCAATTCAGGATTTTTGGCTACAACGTGGAAAAGCATGTTGCACTCTCTATTAAAATCGTTTGCATAAAAAGCGGCTCGGCCGATCCTCTTGCAAAACTAATCAGACTTTATCAAGTATTAATAAATGTCTTTGAAATTGCGATTTGCTAATTTTATGTTTTTTTGGCGTTTCATAAATTATAGAGCCATTTGTTAATATTTGACAAAGACAGATTAGTTTTGCAAGAGGATCGGCCGAGCCGCTTTTGTGCAAACAATCATAAAGGCAAATCCATAGATTTTAAACCGAAAACTTAAACTTCTTCTTAGTGAAGTAGAAGAAAATAAGTAAATTAGTAAACAATTGAAGTTGGGAGCTCCGTGAGCTCCGGAGGCAAAACTAATCAGTATGGCAACTTCAGTCCAGTACGAAAATAAATGAGTACATTTCATTGAATGTATTATAATAATTTCTTTTTCTTTAAAAATGATAAAATCTAATAGTTTAGTAATCTAGCTCTTCATTTGTTTTTCTCTTTTGAACTCCTCCTTTTCGTACTGTACGAATAATCGAGGCTAGATGGAGGTGGCCATCCTCCAATGCTCTAATGTTGTACAATAGAATAGATTAGTTGTAAACATTGAGCATTTGTTTTATAAAGATCGACTTTGAAAGATCTAATCTTGGTGTGGTGTACTTATCCTTTTCTCCAACAATATTTGGTTTGTTCGGTTTAAAATCAAGATAACAGAGTGCCACAGCTAAAGAAGTTTCAATGTCAAGTAAGATTAATAATTAATTATATGTAAAAAAAATAATTCTACCCTATGGCCGTGAAAGGGGGTTTTATGTCTTATAGATCTATTTCACATTTTATATGATCAAATTGCATGGTATATGTAGCCAAGTAGATCGAAATCTGATTCATTATAAAACTTATGTCATACTATTAACTCGCTGTGCATATATTAACACACAAACAGTTACACATTTGCCGTATAGTAAAAATTTTATCTACTAATCATAGATAAGGAAATCTGCTGCTAATCTTTCAACTAAATCATAGAAATTTTCATCCAATAGAAATTATAGAATCGAAAAAAAATCATTAATACAAATAATTCAAACTGTTGACCAAAATTCAAACTACAAACTCTTGAAGTTCATCAATCAACAAAATTTATGAATATAAAAATATGTTTTTTTTGTTATTTTTGAATAGCAATCGTTAAATAGCAATAGTTCCATAAGCACAACAGTGCTAATTTTGATTTAATATTAGTCTGTGTCAGATGGCAACCCAATCAGTTGTCACATCTCTGTACGATAAATTAGTATTAGAATTTCTGTAATAGGGCGAATATTTTTATTGGTACAGCAATGCCGGGTGAAGGCTATTTACACTTGGAAACATATTGCTATCTATATTTTCAAGTAAAAATTGTTGTCACTGCTGCCTGACAACAGGCTACTCGAAGTGGGTATCAAAACCGGGACCTCTGAATCAAGTTCCGTTACCTACGGGCGAGCCCCATGAAAATATGTAAAAATATAAATATTGGATTACATGTTTGTACATAGTATAAAACATTATATACAGCTAAGATGATCTAAATGCAAAATGCCAGATTGTAGGTGACCAGGTAATAATTGCGGATAACACCTGAATAATTCAGAGGGCTTTATATGTTACACGTTTAGCATAAAATTAGTTAACCGATAAAAATTCCGTGTGGCATGGCATTGATTTAACAGTTAACTTTGATTTTATATGTATATCAGTGGAATTTTGTATTAACACACTATACTCTATATTTAAAGTTAATAAGTTATAAGTTACAGACGTTTCGACATCAAGTTTCGGCTCACATATATATGCACAAAAGCATACTTATTCCAATTTTGATTTGAATGAAATGCAACGTCGAGAAAACGAAATTTGCAAATCGGATTTTCTGGCAAAAACATAAACTTTTTCTCCAGAAAGGTAAAAATAGGAAAATAGAAACTGTGAAAAAACAGCAATTTATTACCACACTATTATTTGATATCAAAAACAACATATTAAAAATTTGACTGTGGTGCAGAAAATTTAAAAACATATTAGAAATTGAAGTGGCAGAAAATTTAAAACCTGTACTTCTAAGGTGCCAAAAGTGTTAGAAAAAGTTAGAAACATTTGTCCTTTGATAGTCAAATTTCTTTTGATTCACATACAAGCATACACACTTTTTCAAATTTTAGAGTCAAACGTTTCAAAATTATTGAAACGTGAATAAACCGTTATATAAAAATATAACGAAGCGAATTTTCTGGATAAAATATGAACTTCTTCAGAAAAAATCTCAGTTGTTATTTCACATGTTTTTTAAATATCTGATATTCTAACATTATATATTGACAGAGCTTCAGGTTAGTTATTGCATATTTATCTGTAACGCAATAAAACATTAAAAAGCTTAAATGCATATTATTGAATTCACACAAAACACTATTTGTTATACGTTTCTGTAAATTTTCTATTCTATGTACTGATAAGAATCTACCATCAATTGTGATAAACAACCATTCATATTCATAATTTATATACAAAAACTTGAGTTCTTAATTAACCGTTTCTTATCAGTTGCAGCAAACACATTTACAAATATTATTATAAAGAGGTACATTTTTAGAACGTTTTATTGTCATATGGTCTTGTGATAAAGTGTCGTGATCTTCAAAGTGCAAAAAATCTACTCTGCTATGATTGGTAAGTAATTCATTTTAATTAAATAGTAAGATAAAATCACTATTTCATTAATAATGCGTAGTTTCATTTGTCAATAATAAAATTAGAAAAAACTAAATTATACCTATAAATCTGCTTATTAACTAGTGGTAAATTTTGGTAGACTCTCTCGTACAATTTTTTTTAGTTTAGCGTAAGAGTTTTTTGTCTGCTCAAATATAATTCAGTGGAAAAAGATTATCTTTCGTGTCACTCCAAAGTTTTTATTTTTTTTTAATTATCCATTAATTCATGCATCCTTTACCCCGCAATTTTACTTTTGAAAATATTTAGCCAACTTATTATTCATCTTTTTGCCCAGATTTAGCCTTTTTTCCTGCCTTTTATGTATTCTACTCTTTTCTTCTATCGCTTAATAATAGGTAGCTCGTAGCTCGTAGCTCTAAAGCAGTGAATTCCAAAGTGCTCCATATGGAACCCCAATCTACGACAACTTGCAAGGGGGTTTATGTCGGTAAAAAAGATTTTTAGTAATCTACGGAATTAAAATGTGGAGCACGATATTGGATTTCAAAAACCCATGCTAATATCTGTTCACTCATATGGTTATATCTTATGATATAAATACAAGTACTTATGTACAATATTAATGAAAAAATTTAAGGAGTAATAAAAATTATTACATATCTATAATATAAAAATGAATCGCAAAATGTGTTGGTAAGCGCATAATTCAACAACGCCTGGATCAATTTGGCCAATTCTTTTTTAAAAATGTTCGTTGAAGTCCAAGGATAGTTCTTACGGCGAGAAAAAATCGAATAATTGCCGGGAAACCCCTAAAAACAGGGCAACAAGTCAATGGAGCGTTTTGGGTCTTAATTTTTTTTACTGTGCTCCAATTCGTATGATATTTTAAAATAAGGTTTACATTACTCTCAAGTTTAAAAGTGAAAATAATTTAGACTTCTTTGCCATTTCCCGGGAGGGTGCCCTCTTAGTGGTAGAATTTTATTTTTCTCAAAATAACGTCGGATATCGATATAAAAAACTAATTATAAGAAAAAAAATGTTTTATAATGTTTTTCAAAAAAGCAAAAACTCGTCATTTTATTTAAAGCAAATGTACATTTACGATCCATATGGGTGGATGTATATTTCGGTATAGACTGTAGTGTAAAAAACATTTTAACTAATTGGTAAATATCAGTATAGGTTATTAAAAAAAATTGTTATCTAGTATGATTATATAAATGTGTAAGTTGTTGGATGTAGATATTTGCTTCGCGGTTGCAATTTGTTAAAATTTGCAAAGACCCTATACGCTAGTCTTTGAAAAGCTTGTGCTTGGCAAGATTTTTTACGAATTTTCAGACTATATCTAAGAATTTCAATATTCTAAAGGTTTAAAACAAATGTTTGCAGAATATAATATCGTTAATTTGCAACAGCCATCCTAATTAGACAAAGCCAATTAAGCATTTCTTGTTCTATTTGAGCAAAATATTTATATTTTGAAACTAAGTTTGAGATTTGTTTCTGAAGTTCAACCTAAGGTTGAATATGAAAATGGATATCAGCAATTCTCGATGAAAAAAACATATTTATTTATTTATTTATTTATTTATTTAAATATATAACCCACAGATTTCTCCAAGAGGACTCAAAAATACAATTATTTGACATAATGAATAACAATTAAAATATACACAAAATTACAATATATAGTTAGTAACATATACGCTACTCATTACATATTATACTTTTTAATCGATTTCAAATCATAAAAATAATAGAAAATGGTAATAACTTAATATTAAAACATCATCAATATAACACTTAACATTCACCTTATTGACTACCTTATTTTGAACTCAATTAAGAAATGTGTAACCTAACATAAGTTATGTTATAAATTTTAAATACTAATCTTCAGTAGGAACGATTAAAAATTTACAAAAAAATCAATATCATATTTTAAAGAGATCGATCGTCAATACATTATTTTTATTCAATATTTTTTAGTTAAATTGATAAATATTTATTCATTTAGATTATACCTATGCAAAACAAAAGATTATGCCTACTAGGTATCCATTGCCATAAATATTTATAACAATAATAATAACAACTTGCAAAATTAGAACATTTCTTTCAAGTTAAAATTTCAAATTGAAAACTAATTTGAATTAACTTTTGACTATTGTTACCACTTTTTAACAACCCGAAGAAAAAGTTTATGTATTTGCCAGAAAATCCAATTTGCTTACTTTATGCTTTCTGGACGCTTGAGTCATCTTAACTCGAAGCCAGTTGGAAAACGTGATATATCACACTCACATAACAATAATTTGTAGAAAATTATAAAATTAAGAGTCATAAATAGTTTTGTCGACTAAAAATCTATCATGCAAATTTAGATAAATAAAAAATTAAATTTTTTTTTTTATTTTAATAAATTACCATTATTAATAAAAATGGTAAAAAAACTTTATTGAAAGTTTCACTGTTAATTCCGTACCATATTTTTTCTGGAAATGAAGTTGGATGTAAAAAGTAATTCTTACTAATTTTCCAGCACTTTTAATTTTGCTCGTGGCTTGGCCTGTGGTCAATGGCCAGTATTCAAACTGTGATTATTACCAGAATATGCAGTTGGACATGGATTACTATGTATATTCACCAAACTATCCATCCAACTATCCTCCTGGTTCTTCATGTAGATGGTACGCCGAAGCACCAATCGGATCAAGAATTACTCTTACATGTTCATACATTGAGCTTCCACAGGTAATTAAATAGAGACTCAAATAATGAAATAGCTAAAACATTTAATATGTTTTGTATGTTCTCTTTAAATAATTAAAATAACTAGTAGTGCAAATCGTTGGGTCTTGATACAAATTGGAACTTCAAAAGCTAAAATTTTAATTTTTTTGAATTATGAAAAATATATTTCTATACTTTACAAACGTTTTTCAAAACACATATTATTGCGATTATTTAATTTATAAAATGCTTATTTTTATTTAAATTCGAAAATTAGATGTAAATTCTATTAATATTTGTTTATAACCAAATGTAAATTTTAATACATTGTCATTCATAAATATGTTGAAATTCTTGTATTGGAAGGGAAGCCAAAAGTTTGCAAAATTATTTGATAAGTGAATAATAATTTTTAACCTATACAAATGATTTGCTAAATCTACAAAAATCTTGGATATCTAATTGTTGAATATATCATGATAGTTATGAAAAAAGTATCCAAAATAAATGGCGCCCTTAACCCTTTCCACTCGGATGCCGCCGTGAAAAGCCATTTTGGTCCCTAAACGACTAATACCTACTAATCGCATTGTTAATGAAAATCAGTTTGTTCAATCTGTATAATCGCCATTCTCTTTAAAGTAGCATGAAATCATTTTAAACTATATAAAATAGTTTTTTTCTGCATAAATGTTCTAATAAATATATAATGTACTAATTATTGACCATGATTACTTAATTTATAAAAAAATTTAAAAAAAAATAATATAGTTAAATTAATTAGCATATAAGTTATTTTTCAAATTGAATATAATACTATCGGCAATTTTTTTTTTTTACATTTTTTCAGTCAACTAACTGTGATAATGATCGACTCCTTATTTCACCAGCTGGAAAAGTGGATTTGTCAGATGCACAACGTTATTGCGGAAAAGGAACGTTGACGCAAGTATCTACAGCTAATACTATGAATATAGGTATAATTTGTTTTCATATAATCTTTTCTCATTTTAAATAAAGCACACACAGATATATATCTATGTATGTCACCCAATTAACGAGTACATTGTAAATATATTATTTTTATAAGGTGTATTCTTATCTACATCAACGATTTACCTGTTCCTAAAAATCTTTGTGATTTTATTTAATCTGCGAGAAACACCAGCCTTATCATAACTAAATGTCTTAAGAAATTACTATGCATATAAATAAAATGTTCTTCTGTTCTTGTTTTTGTTGGTTCAACGAAAACAATCTCATCTGAACTAATGATAAATCTCAAAACATTTTATTTGGTACAAAAAATCGATTATCCAAAAATATTAACGCATTACGACCGTTAAGGATATAGCACATGATTTTTCTCAAGTGTCAAAATTTCTTGGAAAATTGTAAATGAAACAATGAAACGAGCCAAATTTTTACTGCTATTCACAACTAGTATTTCTCAAAAAGTAAAAGTGGCCATATTGGTTTTGAATTTTAACGTAAAGTTGGGCCAAATTGATTTTGTATTTGGCCTTTTATTGTGACTAATTTATTTTATTATCAAATTAAGTTTTTACTCTAATATTTATTAGCAGTTTTATTCAACCTAATAATTAACTATTTGAAATTTTAGTTCTACATTCTGTGAATAATGGTGGTAGTGGAAGATTTTTATGTTCAATTAGAGCCACACAGTCAGCTCAGCAATGCAATTGTGGGTGGAAAAAAACGGTATGTACTTTTGATTATAATATTTGGAATGTAATATTTTGTATTTTTTTATAATAAAAATATAATATTAATTATACAAAAACATAGTTATTTCATAATTGTATTAATTATTGGATTTTTTTCAACAAATGACGTTTTTGGTGTAGACCCAGAGACATAAATTAATAAAGCTGCAATTTTAAATTTTTTTAGTGACTGTATTGGTAACCGAATTGATGATCTGACATATATATATATATATATATATATATATATATATATATATAATAAAATTGTTTCTTGGGCATCCATCCAGTAATTAAAAAACAGTTTTAATGAAAAATGTTTTTATTTATAGAGAACATACGTTTCGGGTCTGGATTTGACCCATCTTCAGTGCTACAATTAAATAATTCAGGGTTACAAATTAAAACAATATAAAAAAATACATAATTAACAGACAAAAATAAGTAAAACAATGTATATGAAAAGTATATATGAAAAACAACCATAAAATAAACAATGTAAAGAAACTCACCATACAAATAAACTTTGAAAAACAACACAAAAACACAAAATTGCACGAAAAATAAATAAAAGTGAAATAAAAAATTGATGAAACGTCGAGTTATGAAAAATTTTTAAAAAAATTATAAAATTAAAATGAATGATATATTTTATTATAAAAAAGCTTATTCCAAACGAACATGTTGTTAGTTTGGAAGTTGTATTACGAGTGTGTACGAGAGTAAAATGTGTGCGAACGTGTTTGCGGAAAATACTGGAAACTGTATCGTCATTGGTGAGAGAACGGGATAGAGAGAATTTTGGTGGTTCCATATTACGAAGATTTTCTCAACGATCATGCGCAGTAGGAACATAGTAAAAAATTTATATATGTGCAAGACATCCATAATCAAATCCCAAAAATATGTGAATGAAGAGAAAATTATTAAGAAAAAGTATAGATATTAACAGAAAAACGATAATAGTTATGGAACGATAAAAGTTACATAAAAAATTATAACATAACATATATATGTATATATAAACGCAAAACAATAAATGTAATATATGTATACACATACACATACACATATATGCATACACAAAAGAATATGTAGAATACATAAAAGAAATGTTAGGATGTATTGCGCATATTGAAAAAATTATTTGAAGCATCGCGGTAAATATTGCAAAGAGAAGCCGAATCAAATCGTTTGTTAATAGAAGGTAATATTTGTATGAAAATACTCTCAGCGAACTTCCTGCGTAAAATGTTAGATTCACGATGAATAACTCTTGGATTGGTGAAATTAAAAGAATGTTTAAATTTGGAGACATGCTCGGTGATCATGGTTTTATTTTGTTTTCTGTTCAAACTATTAAGTTCGTGTTGGCGCATTCTTTTTGAGAGAAATTGTGAAGTTTCTCCAACATAACAGCTTGAACAATCATTACAATCAATGACATATACGATGTTTGAAGTGCGGGAAATAGGGGTAGGAGTTTTTAAATTAGTGTATAAGTCTGAGAGAGTGTGTCCAGTCGAACACACTAGCTTCAGACCAACGGATGAAAAAAGTTTTTTCCATGAGTGGAAAAGGCAGTCAATGTACGGTAATGAGATGAAGGAATTGAGAGATAGTGAATTTTCAGGAGGCTTCACAAGGTTTTGTGAAATGATACTATTTTGTTGTGATTGGGAGGTAAATAAGGAAGCTGTACGGAATTTATTACGAAGAAAGGGTAATCTATTATTTATTACTGAGCGTAAAAGTTGTAGTGGATAGGAATTATTTTGAAGGGTAGAATATATCAAATTAATATTTTTTTCCCAATGTGATGGATGAGAAAGAAGGATGGCATGATCTAGTAAGTTGATGATGGATGCAATCTTGGTAGATTTGGGGTGATAGGAATGGTAGTTCAAATAGCGTCCAGACCAAGTGGATTTTTGATACCAACATGTAGTGATAGAGTTGTTATTTATGAAAAGAGTAATATCTAAAAAATTAATGGAGTTGTTAAATTGAGTCTCTAAGGTAAAACTAAGGTGTGAGTCAAAATTATTAAAAGAATTTAGGAAATTGGTTATGTTATAAGTAGGAATGCAAGTTAAAATGTCGTCAACGTAACGTTTGTAAAAAGAGGTACATATGACAAGGTATTAAGAGTAGAGTTCTCTAGGAACTGCATACAAAGTTCAGCAAGAGGGGCACTCAAACTGGAACCCATTGGGGTGCCAAATTTTTGTTTAAAAAAGGAGTCGTTGAACGAAAAATAAGTATTGGAAATAATGAATTTAATACATTTCAGGAACCAAGAAAAATTGAAATCTGTGTGTTTGCTGATATCAGCCCATTTATGGTCTATGGCAGAGAGGATAAGGTCAGGTGAAATGTTAGTGAAGAGGGAAACAACATCTAAACTTATAAAGGAAAAATCAGATGGTACATTGAGGGAGTTAAGTTCGGGAATGAGTTCAAAAGAATTTTTGACAAAATGGGGAGAATTATGAGTGATATTGGACAAAATTGAACTAATAAATTTGGATAATTTGCAAAGAGGGGAATTTAAGTCAGCAACTATTGGTCGAAGGGGAAAGCCATCTTTGTGGATTTTGGGAAGACAATAAAGTTTTGGGGAAATGGGATTGTAAGTTTTTAATTGTAGAGAGAGAGGTTTGGGAATTTGTTTGTTTTCTATGAGTGAATCAATGAATTTCAAAGTATTCCGATTTATAAGGTCGGTGGGATCTGAATTTATAGGCTCGTAAGTGTTTATATCAGCTAGGAGGGACATGGATTTGGAAATATAGTCATCTTTGTTCATGATAACCGTCATGTTACCCTTATCTGCCCTGGTAACAACAATTTCTGGGTGTTGTTTGATAAAGGATTTGCAAAGGTGGATATCTTTGAGTAATTCTTTATGTTGATGAAAGTTAGAAATGTCAAATTTGAAAAATGAATTAAGTTGGTTGCAAAAAATAGATTTAATGCGGTTTTTTTCATTGATATCTTTTAAATTACGTAAACTATATTCTAAAGAGCTAAGTGTTTTGACAAAATTAAACGATTTTTTCTGTTGTGGAATGGAAAATTTGGGACCTAATGCTAAAATATTCAAAACATTGGATGGGATGTCTAAATCTGAAATGTTTTTAACCCATTTATTGATGATATCAGGGTTTATATTTAATTTGGATTCGTTAGACTTTTTCGAATAAAGGGTATTGAATTTTTTAATGAAGGATTTTTTTGACATATTAAAAGAATTATTGAATCTAGAGTTTTCGAAATCTAAAAAATTGTTAATGTCAATGTGATTATTAATAGTGGAAAATAAGGATTGGATGTTGTAATTTAGAGATTTATTTATGTTATCAATAGAGGTAATACAATGTTTGATTTCTAGATTCAGCAACATAAAGGAGAAAGAAAGCTTTTTATTTTTAAAATAATTGGAATTTAGATGATCAAAGTTTGTTAATTTGAAATCAAAGGATTTTGGTAGGAGTTTTTCTTTACGACAACGAAGTAAAAAAGTTCTTTTGTTGGTGACGATAGCCAGTTTTGAGAAAAGGTTTGAAATAGTTTTAAATAAAATGAGTTTGGTAGGTCCATAGCAATGGAAAATGTACTCGAAAAAAGATGGAGAAGAGTAAGGAATGCATTGTGTAAAACTATTATGAAAATAATTGTTGTAACGGTAAATTGACGAATTATTGAAATTATTATAATTCTGTGTGTAAGTTGGATATTGATAAGAGGAACGATTATTATGTCTTACCTTATTTGTATGGAGAGCACTATTCACATATATAGTATTGAAATTATGGTTATTTTGAAAATTCATGTTGTTAAAATTAAAAAACACTTGTAAAAGTTCTTGAAAATGATCAAAATCTTGGAACTTGTAACTTCAGTGTAGTATTGGTTATGAGTGTCCTAACAAGGAAGTCTTGATATGTAGGTTTCGTAAGAGTCTTAAAACTTGTAGAATATTTGAAAAACAGTGTCTTGAGAATGAACAAAAAAATCTTGAATATTTTATGTTGAAATTGTCCAATTTTTCAGCCCTTGGATTATATAAAGCGAGAGGTTTTTCTTCAGATGGTGAAATAATATAATAAAATTGTTTCTTGGGCATCCATCCAGTAATTAAAAAACAGTTTTAATGAAAAATGTTTTTATTTATAGAGAACATACGTTTCGGGTCTGGATTTGACCCATCTTCAGTGCTACAATTAAATAATTCAGGGTTACAAATTAAAACAATATAAAAAAAATACATAATTAACAGACAAAAATAAGTAAAACAATGTATATGAAAAGTATATATGAAAAACAACCATAAAATAAACAATGTAAAGAAACTCACCATACAAATAAACTTTGAAAAACAACACAAAAACACAAAATTGCACGAAAAACTTAACTTTAACTTTTATTTATTTTTCGTGCAATTTTGTGTTTTTGTGTTGTTTTTCAAAGTTTATTTGTATGGTGAGTTTCTTTACATTGTTTATTTTATGGTTGTTTTTCATATATACTTTTCATATACATTGTTTTACTTATTTTTGTCTGTTAATTATGTATTTTTTATATTGTTTTAATTTGTAACCCTGAATTATTTAATTGTAGCACTGAAGATGGGTCAAATCCAGACCCGAAACGTATGTTCTCTATAAATAAAAACATTTTTCATTAAAACTGTTTTTTAATTACTGGATGGATGCCCAAGAAACAATTTTATTATATTATTTCACCATCTGAAGAAAAACCTCTCGCTTTATATAATCCAAGGGCTGAAAAATTGGACAATTTCAACATAAAATATTCAAGATTTTTTTGTTCATTCTCAAGACACTGTTTTTCAAATATTCTACAAGTTTTAAGACTCTTACGAAACCTACATATCAAGACTTCCTTGTTAGGACACTCATAACCAATACTACACTGAAGTTACAAGTTCCAAGATTTTGATCATTTTCAAGAACTTTTACAAGTGTTTTT